ATTAACAATGACCATGAACGTGAATGGGATGAACTCACTTATAAAATGGAGAAAGATTGTGATTGGAGTAGAAAGCAGAATTCAAAAGTAGTTTATAAGAAACACACTTTAAATATAAAGATTCACAGAGTCGAAATGAGGGGATATAGTAGAATTTATTATACTTCAGGCAAATTCTAAAAATCAGGAATGGCAATCATGATTTCGGACAAGGCAACAGTTAAAAGAGAGATGGGTAAAAGAGATAAGCAGAGAAATTACGTTATACTTAAAGGCATTGTAGATAATGAAATATACTATATATATATACACACACACATATGTACCAAATGGCATGGCATCTAAGTAATTAAAAGAAAAACTAATCAATATGGAGCAACAGACAATAAAACTATAATAGTTGGGGACCTTTTAGATCTAGACACATCAAATAAAAAAATAAACAGGAAGGTAAGGACTTGAACAGAATTTTAGAAAAGTTAGATTTGATATCTCTGGCAATTACTGAATGCGAATCTCAAAAGAGTATTGTGTATATACATATACATGTGTATAGTTATATTTGTACTCATATGTACACACATATGTACTCACATATGTGTGTATATATTTCTGTATTTGTATGTATGCATGTATATGTATATCCCCACTGTGCATAGCACTTTTTCAAAAATTAAGCCCATGCTAGGACATAAAAATCTTATAAAGAAATGCAGCAAAGCAAAACTATTTAAAAGCATCTACTGACTAGCAAAAATTATAAACAATAAAGGCTATTTGAAGAAAGAAAAAATGTAGAATAAATAATTTAATCCTAAAGAACTGATGGGTCAAAGAACAAAACATAGAAACAATTATTTCATCAAAGAAAATTAATGAGACAACGTACACAAATTTTTGGGATGCAGCCAAAGCAATCCTTAAATGATATTTTAAATCTTGAAACATCTTCATAAACAAGAAAGATCAATAAACTGGGCAACTGAAAAAAGAAAAACTGGAAAAATCAGAGAAAAACAAAGACCAGGACAGCTTTGAAATTCATCGAATTTATTATTTTTTTTAATCCACGCTATATACACTAGAAATTCAGACACAATCCTTTATTTCTGTTCTTTTTTTATGTATGATTCATGTTTGCTTGTAGTTTTTCAAGTTCAGAATAACAAAAAATAAAAATTATTAAAAGATAAAAATAAATTAAAACTATAAAAGGCACAAATCAGTACCTCTTAACTAAATACAAAAATAGAAATTCTAAAAATTAAAAAGATAAAACTAAAAATAAAGAACTAGGAGCTAGGTTTTGTATGAACTAATAAGATAGACAAACCATTAGCTAATTCAGTTTTTTAAGAGGAAAATAAAATTGTCAAATACAAAAATGAAAAATAAGAGTTTATGACCAATGAAGGAGAAATAAGGAAACTATCAGAAATTACTTTGCTCAATTATAAGCCAAAAAAATTGACAAGTGAAATGAATAATTATACACAAAAATATGAAACAGATTAACAGAAAAATAAATGGAAAACTTAAGTAAACCAATATCAGGAAATGAAATTGAATAAGACATAAAGGATCTCCCAAAGAAAACAATCCCAGGAACAAATGGATTTACAAATTAATTCTATGAACTATTCAAAGAACAGTTAGTCTCATTATTATAAAAGTTGTTTGCTAAAATTAATAAGGGATCCTGACAAACTCCTTCCATGCAACAAATATGAGCCTAACACCTAATCCAGGGAAAGCTAAAGCTAAAAAAGAAAACTACAGGCCGAGGTCTCTAATGAATTTCAATGCAAATAATATACAATAAAATATTAGTAAAGAGGCTATAGCAATGCATTTAAAAAGAGTATGTACTGTGACCAAGTTGGATTTATGCCAGGAGTGCAGGACTGGTTCAATATTAGAAAAATCATGAACAGACCATATTAATAATAAAAACAATTAAAATCATTATTAAATCAAAAGATGTAGAACAAGCTTTTTTTTTTTTTAGAAAAAGCTTTTAATAAATTACAACACCCTTTAAAAATCATTAAAAAAGCAGATGGACCTTTCTTTAAATTTGGTAAATAGTATCTAAAACCAAGAATTAGCATAATGGAGAATTACTAGAGACCTCCTAGATAAAACAAGGTTTTATCCTTGTCCATTGTCACCACTATTACTTGATATAGTTCTAGAAATGTTAGTGATTGCATTAAGACAAAATAAAGAAATTTAGGAAAGAAGCACACAGAATGAGGATAAAAAAATGTTCTTTGCAGATGATATGGTGGTTTACTTAGAGAACCATAGTGATTCAACTAAAAATCAATGAATACAATAAAATACAGCATAGTAACAGGACATAAAATAAATCCACATAAATCATCAGCAGTCCTACATATTACCAACAAAACCCTGTAGAAAGATTTAGAAAAAGAAATTCCATTTAAAATAACCATGGAATTTTCACACATCTTGAGTTCACCTGCCAACATGCACAGGAATTACATGGACACTACAAAAATCTCTACCTAAACTACAAAAAAAAAAAAAAAAAGAGGAAGAAAGAAAGAAAGAAAAGAAAATTCATCTACTAGAATAAAAGATAAAGAATCTCAAGGGAAATAATGAAAAATGTGGGGAATTTGGCCCACACAAATCTCAACACATACTACAAAGCAGTAACCATCAATGCTATTTGGTACTAGTATAAATAAGTAAGTAAAATGATCAATGGAACATAGTAGGTACATAAGACCCCAAAGCAATCAAACACTATAGTAGAATAGTGCTTAATAAACCCAAGGACACCAACTAGTAGGTCAAATTTTCTTCTGGATTTGTCTGACAAAAAATGCTGGGAAAACTAGAAAGTAGTCTAGCAGAAATTAGATTTTGTCGTTGAATCATTTTCAGTTGTGTTCCACACTTCATGACCCTATTTGGGTTTTCACAGCAAAAATACTAGAGTAGATTGCCATTTCCTTCTCCATCTCACTTTACAGATGAGGAAATTGAGGCAAACAGGGTTAAGGGACTTGCCCAGGGTCATGCAGTTGGTAAGTGCCGAGGCCAGATTTGGACTCAGAAGTTGATGAAGATGAGTCTTCCTGATTCCAAGCCTGGCACTGTGTCCACTGCACCACATAGCTGCCCTCAGAAATTAGATTTAGTAGCTCCAAATGAATGCATGACCTAAATATAAGATATCATTTAACAAAAAAATTGGAAAGGAAAAGATATAATTTTCACAATTACAGATAAAGGAAGAGTTCTTGGCCAAAGAAGTGATAGAGATTATTACAGGAAATAAAATGTATAATTTTTTTCTTTTTTTAAAATTAATTTATTTTTAGTTTTCAACAACACTTCCATTAGCTTTTGAATTTTAAATTTTCTCCCCCTCCCTCTCCACCTCCCTCCCCAAGATAGCATGCGATCTGATAGAGGCTCTACATATACATTCCTATTAAACATTTTCACATTAGTCATGTTGTAAAGAAGAATTAGAACCAATTGGAGGAACCACAAGAAAGAAACAAAACAAGAAATAAAAAAGAGTAAGTAGTATGCTTCGATCTGCATTCAAACTCTGTAGTTCTTTCTTTGGGTGTGGATAGCATTTTCCATCATGAGACTTTCGGAGATGTCTTAGATCCTTGCATTGCTGAGAATTGGGAAGGTTCATGCTTCACTGCTCAGGCAGGCAATAAGGATTATTAAGCACTTTGTATATCTATCTATTAGTCTATCTATTATCTATCTATAAGTCTATCTATTAGTCATTGCACGATGTGGCTGTTACTGTGTACAGCATTCTTCTGGCTCTGTTCACATAACTGAGCATCAGTTCATACAAGTCTTTCCAGGTTTTTCTGAATTCTGCTTCCTCATCATTTCTTATTGCACAATAGTATTTCATTACATTGGTATACCACAACTTGTGCAGCCATTCCCCAATTTCAGTTTCCAATTCTTTGCCACCACAGACCTATGTACATGTATTTTTGTACATGTGGGTCTTTTTGCCATTTTTATAATCTTTTTGGGATACAGCCCTAGAAGTGCTATTGCTGGGTCAAAGGGTATGCACATTTTTATAGCCCTTTGGGCATAGTTCCAAATTGCTCTCCAAAATGGTTGGATTCACAACTCTACCAACAATGCATTAGTGTTCCAATTTTCCCACATCTCTAGCATTTATCATTTTCCTGTTTTATCACGTTAGCTAATCTGATAGGTGTGACGTAGTACCTCAGAGTTGTTTTGATTTGCATTTCTCTACTCGTGATTTAGAGCATTTTTTCACGACTATAGATAGCTTTAATTTCTTCCTCTTAAAACTGCCTGTTAATATCCTTTGACCATTTATCAATTGGTGAATGACTTGTATTCTTACAAATTTGACTTAGTTCTCTACATATTTTAGAAATGAGGCTGTTATCAGAGACACTGGTTGTAAAAATTCTTTCCCAGTTTTCTGCTTCCCTCCTAATCTTGGTTGCATTGGCTTTGTTTGTGCAGAAACTTTTCAATTTAATGTAATCAAAATTATCCATTTTGCATTTCATAATGTTCTCTAGGTCGTGTTTGGTCACAAATTTTTCTATTCTCCACAAATCTGACAAGTAAACTATTCCTTGCTCTCCCAGTTTGCTTGTAGTATATCTAAATTGTGAACCCATTTTTACTTTATTTTGGTATATGGTGTATGATTTTGGTCTCTGCCTAGTTTCTGCCATACTCTTTTCCAGTTTTCCCAGCAGTTTTTGTCAAATAGTGAGTTCTTATCCAAAGCTGGAGTCTTTGGGTTTATCAAAAAATAAATTACTATAGTCATTGACTACTGTGTCTTGCATACCTAACCTCTTCCACTGATCCACCACTCTATTTCTTAGCCAGTACCAAGTAGTTTTGATGATGACTGCTTTATGATACAATTTAAGATCTGGAATGGCTAGGCCACCTTCCCTAGCATTTCTTTTCATTAGTTCCCTTAATATTCTGGACCTTTTGTTCTTCCAAATGAATCGTTATTATAAAATATATAACTTTAATATGTACAATTGAAAACTTTCTACAAAAATCAACCCAGTTAGAATTAGAAGGAAAATAGTTGAATGGGGAAAAACCATCTTTGATAGACATTTTCCTGATAAAGGTCTGCTATCCCATGGATATAAGGAATTATAATTAATACATAAGAACAAGAGTCATTCCCCAATTAAAAAAAAAAGACCAACCCAAGAAAAGGTGCTTCTCAAAAGATCAACACAATATAAAAAAAACCTCTAAATCTGAACTAGTAAATCTAAATCTAATAAGAAAAATGAAAATTAAAACAATTTTGAGGTTCCACTTTAGTTCCATTAAATTAGCAAAGATGACCAAAAAAAAGAAAATGACAACTGTAGGAGGAGCTGCAGGAAAAGAGGCATTCTATTATGCTCTCAGTGGACCTGTGAATTTGTCTAACCATTCTGGAAAGCAATTTGGATTTATACCCAAGAAGCCATTAAATAAATACCACTACTATGCATATAAAAAGAAGAGATCAAAGAAAGTTGAAAATGACTCATATATACAAAAATATTTATAGTAGCATTCTTTACTGTAACATAAGATGGGAAATTAAAGATGAAATGGAAAATTCATATGGAATGTAATAGAATATTACTGAGATATAATAAATGACAAAAGGTAAAGATTCAGAGAAACCTGGGAAGATTTGGATGAGCTGGTGCAGAATGAAGTGTCACCTTGGCAACAAGATGATGAATAGAAATACCGAATAAGACAAACATTTTTAAATATGGACAATGTATGGATTTATTTTGCTTGACTATACTTTATATAAGGGAAGGCTTTTATTTCGGGTGGGTGAACTGGAACAAGTGAAACAGTAGTGATGATGCCAAAAAAAAAAAAAGAGAGAGAAGAGAAAAAAGACAAGCACATCAGGAAAATATTAGAAAAAAATAGAGAGAAGACAGAAAGGGACACAAGACACAAAGGGCTGTGATAGTAATGCAATGTTAAATTTAATATATACTTGACTTGCAGTATTGTATACAATTTTTTTTTCTTTGTAGTTGGAAAAGTATGTGTTTGTAAAATTAATAAAAAAGAACAGGGAAGTAGAAATGATTAAAAGTTCAGCATGGCTTCACCAAGCATGCAAGACTAATATTTTCTTTTTTGAAGGGTAGCGAGCCTTTTAAATTATGGCAATGCTGTTATTCATAGGCTATGTAGAATCCAACATGGCATTTCAATTCAATTTCAATTCAACAAACATTCATTAAGTCCCTACTTTGGGGAAGAGGTTTTTCTCTCCAGTATGAATCCTCTGATGTCGTGTAAGGTGTGTCTTCCGGTTAAAGCCCTTCCCACATTCATTACACTTATAGGGTTTTTCTCCAGAATGAATTCTTTGATGAATTTTAAACTGTGAAATCTGACTGTAGGCTTTCCCACATTCATTACATTTATAGGGTTTCTCTACAGAATGAACTTTTTGATGAGTATTTAGCTGTGAAATCTGGCTATAAGCTTTCCCACACTCATTACACTTAAATGGTTTCTCTTGATTATGAGTGTGTTGGTGTAGAGTAAGGTGTGTACTCCGATTGAAACCTTTCCCACATTCTTTACATTTATAGGGTTTCTCTCCAGAATGAATTCTCTGATGTTGAGTAAGTATTCCCCTCTTGGTAAAGGCCTTCCCACATTCATTGCATTTATAGGGTTTCTCTCCAGAATGAATTCTCTGATGATCAGTAAGTATTCCTCGATTGGTGAAGGCTTTACCACATTCATTACATTTATAGGGTCTTTCTCCACTATGGGTAAGTTGGTGTTGAGTTACGTGTGCCCTTTGGGTGAAGGCTTTTCCACATTCATAACACTTAAATGGTTTCTCTCCACTATGAGTAAGTTGATGTTGAGTAAGCTGAGCCCTCTGGGTGAAAGCTTTCCCACATTCATTACACTTAAAGGGTTTTTCTCCAGAATGAATTCTTTGGTGTCGAGTAAGGTTTGCCCACTTGGTGAAGGCTTTCCCACATTCATTACATTTATAGGATTTCTCTCTGGAATGACGAGCATGATGGAGATTAAATTGTAAATCCTGGCTGAAAACTTTCCCAAATCCTTTATACTTCAAAGATTTCTCTTCTGCATAGATTCGTGAACATTCAGATAGTTCTGAATTATCTTTGAAGCTCTTGCCATGTATATCATATGTAGAGAGACTACTTACTAAAGGAATTCTCTGTTGTGTAATCAGCATTGAGCTCAGATTGAAGCTTCTCTCAAATTCACTGCTTTTAGAACCTCTAACCTTGTTTAGATTTTCCTCATGAGTGATTGTTCCTAGCTTCAAATGATTTTCCTGTTGGCTTTGTTGCCTCACCAACATGTCATAACATTTGAAGGCTTCTCCCAGTTCAAAGTTCCAGGAGCTATGTCCTTTTATTGTCTCTCCCTGAGATGACTCTGCTACAGAAGTTTTCCACTTTGGAAATAACTCCTTAGCTTCAGGTCCAGTATCCCAATCTGGAAAAAAATTTTTTTAAAAAAATATAAATGTAGCCTTAGCAGGGATAAAGAAATTTATTACCTTAGGAATATAATAAAATGGGAAAACATGCTTATGATGAAATAATTCATTTTTCTATAGGTACTATTAGTATAAAAAAACATTTTTCTAACAACAACCCTGTGAGGTTGGTAGTAGAAGTATTATTGTCATCTTTTTGTAGATGAGAAAACTATGAATCAAAGGGGTTAAATTCATTTGCCACTCACATAGCTTTTAAGGAATGAAGTTGGGGTTTGAATACAAGTCTTGTAAAAAAATCAAGTTCATGGTTGTTTCCCACTACAGTAAGGAATGTTAAGTTTTGTACTACTTGTTTCACAAAGAGTTTTGTAAAGCTAAAAGGATGATATAAATTACTATCATTATTGACAGCTGTCAATAGAGTTGCTATCTTGAAGAGGCTTAAAAGGGGGAAGAATAAATTAAGGAGACACTGATGAAATATTGTGGGCAAGCAAAAGCAAGATAGGATCAGATTGTTAAGACCTCCACATATACCTGTGCATTTCTAATACACCATGCATACAACTATCAGATTAAATTTACTATAATAATAATAACATTATAATATCATATCATGATTCACCCTTCCACTCAACCTGTAAAGTAAATCAAAACTCCTGGGCCAAAGAGGGAAATGGCTGCCTAGGAAAGTAGCATGTTCCTATTAGAACATAAGTTCCTCGAGAGTAAAGATTACTTCATTCTTTGCATTTCTATCCCCAGTACTTCACACAGCTTAATAATCCTTACTGGTTGACTGATTTAAAGGATATCTTCAAGCAGAGGCTGGATGACCATAGACTATGTTAACAGAAGGGATCTTGTTCAGGTATAGGTTGAGGTCTCACTCAATGCTGGCAACCTGAGATTCTGGTTACACTACTCAATCTACCTTTTTAGCCTCACTGTACATAGAAAATTGGACAATCTGTTTCTCACAAATGATGTTCCATCTCCTGTCTCCATGCCTTTGTACCAGCTGTCCCCCCATGCTAGGAATAAGCTTTCCCCTCATCTCTGCCTCACAGAAATCTTACAAGACTCAGCTCAATCACCAATTTCTACATGAAACTTTTTCTGATTCCCTCAACTACCAGGGTCCTCTCTCTCAAACTACCTTGTATTTTAAGTACTCCATATGTATGTTTCTTTGTAGATTTATACACACACATATCCATCCTCTTATTGTTTTCTCCATTACAATGCAAGTTCCTGTTGAGTGAGGAATGAAACAATTCACTGTATTTGTATCCCAAGTGCCTAGTACTGTATAGTGCTTGGTATATAGTAAGTATGTAATAAATATTCTGATTGTTACATGAGGCAGAAAGGTTGACTATGAAATGAAAAGACTCCAGGATTTAAGTATAAGAAATCAGTGGTAACCTTTAAGAACAGTTTCCATAAATTACTGAATACTGAAATTGGGTTAAGAAGAGAATGGGAACTGAGGAAATGGAAGGCCATAGGCAAACACTACTTGTTGAAAATTGAAAATCTATGCAAGACACAGAGCCAATTAGCCTCTGCCCTTCTCCAAATACCTGGAAGGTTTAGGGGAGTGATTCCTGGATCAACATTTCAAAGATGTTTTCTCCCTGACTGACCAGCTGATATATTGCTTGTAGTAAATTTCCAGCTGTTAGTTTTTCATTCACTCACATAGACTGATGCCTCTTGGAGCTTCACTCTCCCTCATCCACGGCACTTTCATATGTTCTATCTGGGAGGTCACATTTGGTTTGGAAGTTGAAAGCCCTGATAATGGGGGGAAAAAAAGGTAAATGGATATTCACGCTGAAAGGGAAAAAAAGTTATTCTAGAATACAGTTCAATCCCTTTGATAGTGAGTGAGTAGTGAGGGAAAACAGAATATGCTAAGAAGGCTCAAGAGATAGATAAAAGAATTTCTGAAGGTTATTTCCTACTGTGTTCCTACAGACTACAGGGGAACAGATCATGGAGTCGATCTGGGTTCAAGAAGACACTTAGGTCATTTGTTGCTCCTAATAAGAATGTACAATTCTCAAATACCTGGAAGTATATGAACTAGGTTTTTGACAAAAAAGTGGGACAAAGGTGAGCACAGGATGAGAAGAGGACAGAATCACAGATAACAATGAGTAAACAAAGCTGTTGTCCAACTTTTAGTTCTACAGGGCAAAGTTTCCTCACCTTAGAACACAGAGCAAAAAAATCCTGTGGTTTAACTCAAAAAGGCTTAAATATCTCTAGTTTCTACAAACTAGGAAAAAACTAACTTTGACATCTCAGAATCTTTAAGAAGCAATAATGTTTAAAAAAATCCAAAAGCATAAATTTGGAGTCACCAGGGGGAAGATTTACCAAGAAAAACTAAGTTCCTATAGTTCTCCAACAGCACATCCCTGCAGAGGTCTTGTTGAACAGGTTCCAATTGCTCCCACTCTTCCCAAGTGAAGTCAGGAGCCACATCCTTGAAAGTCACTGATTCCTAAAATAAATAAACAAATTGATGCTTGTATAGTGTGAATTTCCTATTTTACCCTTACAGGGGAAAGTGGACAAATGAATAGGGTGTACTGAGGATGAATCTGATATGATATCACATTGCAAGGTGATCCCAAATCATTTGTTTCTTGTATATCTACTGTATGTGCCATTTTATATCAGACTTGGTAGGAGATAAAAGAAAAATGGAGACCCCTGCTTTTTAAGAATTTAAAATGTTTTGAGAGTTACTGAAGTCCATTAGCCAGTGAGAAACTGCCTCTCATAATCTGCTCCTAATGCTTCATGTTGTTCAGTGTTCACATACCCTGGGATATATGGTACATACAAGTCCTAGTAACTAGTTTCCTTGTCTTCTAAGAGGTTGCTGTAAGCTTTAAATGAGTATGCACTTTCCTCTTAAACCACTGAAACCTACAGAACAAACAAAACTTGTATTTGGTTGATCAATCATGCTTCCAATATTAATTTCCAATTGAATACCACACAGAAACCACTCCAGCATGAATCAAAGATTATTATCCAAGAAACACACTGGAATTTTATGACTACCACTACAAAAAAAAACAAAAAAAAAACAAAACCTCTTTTCAGAAATAAAGAAAAATTTAAATAATTGGAAACATACTCATTTATTCATGGTTGAGCCATAAAAATGACAATTCTACTAAATTAATTAACACAACTAGTACCATACCAATAAAAATATGAAATATACTTTGTACAACCATACAAAATAAAAACTAAATTCATCTGGAATAGCAAAAGGTCAAGAAACTTAAGGGAAATAATAAAAAAAGTGGGAAGGAAGGGGGTGTACCAGTGCATCTCAAACTATATTAGAAAGCACTAATCTTCAAAATTCTTTGGTACTAATTAAAAAATAAATAAGATGATACAAATTAAGTGCAAAAGATCCAAAAGCAACTGAACATACCGTAGTCACATACTGTTTGATAAACCCAAGGATGCCAACTATTGGGGTAATGACTCCTTATTTGAAAAAAATTGCTAAGAAAACTAGAAAGCAGTCTGGCAGCAGTTAAATTTAGAACAACATCTCACACCATCTATCACAAAAAGCTCAAACTGGATATGTAACCTCAATATTATTTAATCTTTAAAAAACAAAAGTGAGGAAGGAAATACTTTTCAAAAATATGAATAACGAGATCCAGTGAGTGAAAGGGATGATCACAGGACACAAAAAAGACAATTTTGTTATATGAAGTTGAAAGGTTATTGTATGGTGATAGAGGTGCAAAAAAGAAAAGAGGAAGAAGAGGAAAAGGGTATCAATGAAACATTTAAACATGCAAAGAAAGGAGCAAAAGAAAGTTCAGAAGGGGATACAAACGTGTAAGTATAGATACTATAGTGTTAAATTTTATACTTAGATCAATCTTGTAAAACATTGTTTTATATAAAATACTTTTTCTGTTATTTTATATATAAATGTTCATGTTAATGTTTAAGTTTGTAATTTAAAAAATTTTAGAGTAATTATTGGAAGTTGGATCAAACTGAAAATGTATTCAGAAAATAGAATATTCCCTGTGGAATATTTAGCCACCAGGATGTGCCCAGCCTCCCCTGAGAAAACAACAGAGGTTCCAATCTCTAGAAAGGCCTTTCTTTAAGACAGAAGTCCCAGGAAAAACGAATGAAACATGTCTACACTGATGGAAAAGGGAAAAGGCATTGCAACTCACCAGAAAATTGGTTACTGGGAACATTTCTTCCTTCTCTGTGCTTTCTTCTTGAAGAAGAGAAGAATCACAAGAGTATGAAGCTATGAAAAAAGGACAGGAATAAGATCAACCCTAAGGCTCTGACATTTCTTGAGAGAATGGCAATCACCACCTGAAGATCTGATATTATTCCTGTGGTCACAGCAAGTTTCCAAGGACAGAATTCTGGTTCATGGAAGATGTCAAGATATAACTATTCAGTCTCAATGCCATCTGATGTGTGTAATTCCCATTTAATGAGGAATTATCATTTTTCCTAAGTGATAAAATATAGAATGAATCAATTGGCTGACATCCCTGGCGGAAAATGGCTTTATAAGAAATTGAATATTTCTATCACAAAGTGTAGATTACTTACATGTAATGTGGAACAAAGAATAAACTTAACCACTTCCTCACTATGTGACCTTGAGCAAGACAGAGGATCATACTGAACTTTAATTTTTTCCATCTGTACAACTGGGATAGTTATATATGCTTTACTGCATTGTATTCCCTAGTACCTGGCACACAGTAAGCCCTAGTAAATGTTTGTTGAATGACTGACCTCAAAGGGCCCTAAAAGGTAAAAATAATCATTAATGCAAAAAAATGGGCTGAACCCAACACTCAGTCATTATATTCACGGATGGGGATGTTATAAACCTTTGGAACAGAGGTGTCAACATACATAGACCTCAGGCCAATACTGCCTGCAATGCTGCTAAAACCAGATTAAAATTGGGATTATTATTAAATATTAAAAATATTATTAAAATTGGGAAATACTTTTTAAAAAGGGAAATATTTAACAAAATTAAAGACACTAGAACATAGATAATGTTACTATGTGGTTTTCCAAGTCAATATGTGGCCTGCAGGAATTCTTATAGATGTTCAGGCCACATTTCTACTTTAGTTTGACAACACTGCTTTGGAAAACACCCCTGCGACAACATATAAGAAGGATGAAGAGTTTGTGCTTGATATCTGTACAGGTAAAAGAATAAGAGTTATAAAAATGTTTCCTATTTTGTGGTCATGTTTTTTGCATCTAATAAACCTGTAAGACACAGAGTTGACTGGGTATCATAAGAAAAGAGGACCAATGTTGGGATTAAAAAGATTCTTATTCATTATCCTCAAAAGGCTAGGTAGTACCTGCTTCCTTATCCACTTCAAAAACCTGCTTCCTCTCTTTCTATTTCTTCTCTTTACTACTGTTTCTCCAAGGACCCCTCTGAGAATCTGTGTTGTTTATTCTCTCCATTCACACTCTAAATAGATTTTGCTTTTTTCCCTCTATTCTTTTGCAGCTCTCACCTTCTTCCTCAAGGGTTTGGGTCAAATCTTCCACCAAGCAGACCACTTCCTCAATATTCTCTGGACGCTGTGACTTCACCCAAATCCTGATCTCACTGGGCAAGATGGTCAGGAATTGCTCCAGCACCAGCAGCTCCAGGATCTGTTCCTTTGAGTGAATCTCTGGCCTCAACCACTGAAGGCACAGTTCCCAGAGCTGGCTCACAGCCTCACGGGGTCCAGCTTTCTCTGGGTATGGAAAACATCTGAAGCTCTGGCGAGAAGCCTCTGAATTAAATTTTTTCTCTCTTCCTAGGGCGATTACCTGATCAACAGAAGTATCTACTTTCAGGACTCTGTTTTGTTCTTGTACATTCAAGTTTTGAGGGTTCAAGGAGATGGTCATGTTATTCAGGGCCAGCATCTTTCTATTGGGACTATCACAATGGACTTCAAATCTGCATTCCCAGCAGAGTCAGTTCTCTCCAGGCTCAGCCTGAATATCCGCATACATTTCTGGGTAAAGCTGAGGGTATATGTATAATGGTTAGCTGGAGGTATCAAGGAACTCCAGTCATATCTTCAGACCTCAAGGCTCTATAGAGATGTAGACATACAAATGACCCAAAAAGTGAGTAGCAGACAGCAATGAAATAGTAAATTAAGCAAGGTGTTAAGCTCTCAGTATTGGCTCAAATTCACACAACAGATCATAGCTATATGGTGTTTTAATGACAGAACAGTATCTGTACAACTACCCTATCAACTAGGTAGTACAAATCTTATTTACCTGCATTATACAGATGAAGAAACTGAGATTCAGTAAGGTTAACTGACTTAACCATGGCCAGACAAGTAAATTATTAGACCTAGGACTTAAACACAGATCTCTGTACTACTGGGACAGTGCTTTTAACACTAAGCCATATTGTCTCTATGTAGAAATATACATGACAAATATTATACAAACTGATTATACCTCCTACCACACCCACACTATCCAGAGCTGAAAAGTATATTCATTTTACTTGATTGGTAAACTCTACAAGGGAGGAGACAATCTTATTTTTCTATGTATGTGCTATAATTCCCCATACATAGAAGGTACCAAAAATGTATGAATGTCATTGGAAAAAGACATGCTATACCATTGTTTGTATGCCAGAAAGATGTGAGTGATTTAGCAATGGTGTAAAGCATAAAGTTCCTTGGCACGAAAAGGTGCTCTCTATCTACCCCCAAACTGGCCTTCCAGGGCCAGGAAGTCACTTCACATCTCAGTGCTCTATGGCCTAGAGTCTAGGTGCTGCCTTTTGACTGAATCCAAGTTTTGCTGAACAAATCCTTTTATTAAAGGGATTTGTTCTGTGAAGTTTGGATTCAGTCAAAGGGTAGCACTTGAGGCCCTAGAGGGCCACCTGTGGCCTCGGGGCTGCAGGTTCCCCACCCCTGGGCCTCTAGGCAACTCCTCAATACCACAAACTACAGAGAAGATGTCCCCTTGCATTGGCTGAGGGAACTTACTGATAGGATTACGAGGCATGTGACCCTGCACTGGATCCAATGTAGGGTCCTAGATTGAGAGCATCACAGGCCCAGTCCCTAACCCAAACGGCCACAGATTTAAAGTTGGAAAAGACCCTATTCCTTCTCCTTCTCCCACCAATGCATTTTACAGATGCGCAAACTGAGAATAGAAGTTAAATGTCGTGCCCAGGATTACACAGCTGGTAAGTGTCTGAGATAGGATTTGAACTCAGGTCTTCCTGCCAAGCATAGGGTTCTATCACAGCACCACCAAGCTGCTTACTCTGCGCCCCCACAAAATACAGTAGCATTTCGAAATAAATTCTAGGCTTCAAATTCCCGACGGATGAGAGGAGGAAAGGCCCACTTGTCACTCAAGCTCCTGAGACAGGAAATCTGCCTCCTTCTAACCCACATGGATGCCGGTCCCTCATCTGGGCAGGGAACTCTCCCGTCTCTCCCGCCTTTCCCTCCCCTACCTCCCCTACTCCTGCTCTCTCTTCTCCCTCTAGTTCTCGGTCCGTGTCGCCTCCTCCTCAGGTCAGTAGGGCACGGCGCGATCTCAGGTGGAGACGGAGGCGACCAACCTACGGCGAGCAGGTGAGGACAAAAGTGCGCAAAGCACAAGCTGCCTCGACTGTGAGCGGCTGCGGCTCCATGGGCTCCAGACGAACTTCCCGTCGCTCCTCCAGCAGCCAGGGCAAACAGGAAACACACAAACACAACGTGCGTGGAGTCGAGGAACGAGGGCGGACGCCTGGGTCACCGGTAGCTGTGGGTTTGGTCGGTCTAACATAACGGTAAGACCGACCCCACCTTCAAATCCGTACTGTTAAAACATGGGCACCAGGGGTTGCTAACTGCCTGAGCGCAGCCTGTCGTAACTACGATTCCCAGAATCCTTCGGGTACCGTTTCTGAAGGTTGGGGGAGTGGAAAGAGTTCCGGGCGGAGTTGGGATTCAGAGAATCTGAGTGCCAGTCTGTGTTGTTAGAAGCCCTTGATTTTCAGAAATTCTTTGTGTAGATTAAGGAATAAAAAGGTAAGTGGAGAGGATAAGGAAGGGATTCGTAGAAGAAGTGCAGACTAGGGAGCCAGAGGTCAGAGAGATAGGGTAAAAAGAGAGGGAGAGAAGGATAAACAGTGAAGAAAAATAGGATGGAGGGAAAGGAAATGTACAACTAGTAATTACAACTTTGAATGTGAATCTGATGGACGGAAATGCATAGTAGAATGGATTAAAAAATAGAACCTGACAATATGTTGTTCAAAAGAAACACATTTGAAAATGAAAGATGCAAGGGGCAGCTAGGTGGCGCAGTGTATAGAGCACCGGCCCTGGATTCAGGAGGACCTGAGTTCAAATATGGCCTCAGATACATAACACTTACTAGTTGTGTGACCTTGGGCAAGTCACTTAACCCCATTGCCTAGCCCCCCCCCCCAAAAATAAGAAAATGAAAGATGCACATAGTGTAAAAATAAAGAGTTGGAGTAGAATTCATTATGCTTCAGTTGATGCAAAAAAAAAGTAGGGGTAGCAATCTGATTTCAGACAAAGTCAAAGCTACAATAGATTTAATTTAAAAAGACAGACAGGGAAACTATATTATGTTAAAAGGTACTATGATATTAATATTAATTAAGTTATATTAAAATTAAATCTATATGCACCAAATGCTATAGTATCCAAATTTTAAGAGGAAAAACTAAATTAATTAAAGGTGGAAATAGATAGCAAAACTATAATAATGAGGGATTTCAACCTTCCCCTTTCAGAACTAAATAAATCTAACAAAAAAAAAGTGAATAAGAAAGAAGCCAAGGAGATTAATAGAATCTTAGATAAGCTAGATATGATAAATATTGGAGAGAATCGAATGAGAATAGAAAGGAATACAACTTTTTTCTTAGTGGAAATGGTACCTATATAAAAATTGACCATATATTAGGGCATAAAAACTTTACAGGTAAACGCAAAAAAGCAGAAATATTAAATACATCCTATTCAGATCATAATGCGATAAAATATTTTACAAGGGATCATGAAAACATAGATTAAAATTAATTGGTGACTAAATAACCTAATCTTAAAGAGAGAGTAGGTTAAGGAACAAGTCATAGAAACAATTACAAATTTTATTAAAGAGAATGATAATAATGAGACAACATACCAAAATCTATGGGATGCAGCAAAAGCAGTAATCAGAGGAATAATTGTATCTCTAAATGCTTACATAAGTAAAATAGAGAAAGAACAGACCAATGAATTTGGTTTCCAATTAAAAAAAAAACCTAGAAAAAGAACAAATTTTAAATCTACAATTAAACCCCAAATTGGAAATCCTAAAAATTAAAAGTAAGATTAATAAAGTTGAATGTAAGAAAATCATTAAATTAATAAATAAAACTAGGAGTTGGTTTTGTGAAAAAAAAAAACAACAATAAAATAGATAAACCATTGGTTAATATGATTTTAAAAGATAGAGAAGAAAACCAAACACTAGTATCAAAAATGAAAAGATTGAATATACCACTAATAAAGATGAAATCAAAGCATTTATTGAGAGTTATTTTGCCCAATTACATGCCAATAAATTTAAGTGAAATGGAAGAATACTTACAATAATGTAAGCTGCCTAGATTAACAGAAGAGAAAATGGAATATTTGAATAAATCTATTTTAGAAAAAGAAATTAAACAGACCATAAATGAGCTTCCTAAGAAAAAAGCATCAAGACCAGATGGATTTACAAGTGAATTTTACCAAACATTTAAAGGTCAAATAATTCCAATATTAAATAAATTATTTGGAATAATAGACAAAGGAGTCCTACCAAACTCCTTTTATGAAATTCCTAAACTCCTAAACCAGGAAGAGCAAAAACAGAGAAAGAAATTTATAGACCGATTTTTATTAAACGAATATGGATGCAAAAATTCTAAATAAAATATTAGCTAGGAGACTACAACAATGTATCACAAAGATTATACATTGTGACCAAGTAGGATTTATACTAGGAATGTAGGGATGGTATAATATAAGGAAGACTATTAACATAATTAATTATATCAACAAAAGTAACAAAATCATATGATTATATCAATAGATATAGAAAAAGCATTTGACAAAATACGACACTCATTCCTATTAAAAACACTTGAAAGCAAAGGTATAAATGGATTTCTCCTTACAATGATAAGAAGCATCTACCTAACACCATCAGCAAGTATTGTTTGTAATGGGGATAAGCTGGAAGACTTCCCAGTAAGATCAGGAGTGAAATAAAGATGCCCATTATCACCAGTATTATTCAGTATTGTATTAGAAATGCTAACAATAGCAATAAGAGAAGAAAAAGGATTTGAAGGAATCAGAATGGGCAATGAGGCAATAAAACTATCTATTTTTGCAGATGATATGATGTTATACTTGGAGAATCCTAGAGATTCAACTAAAAAGCTAGTTTAAACAATAATTTTAGCAAAGTAGCAAGGATACAAAATAAACCCCCATAAATTATCAGCATTTCTATATGTCACCAACAAAACCTCGGAAGAAGAGATAGTAAGATGTACCCCATTTAAAAAAACCATAGACAGCATAAAATACCTGGGAGTATATCTGCCAAGACAAACCCAGGAACATAAGCATAATTATAAAATATTTCTTTTACATTTAAATAAAGTCAGATTTAAATAATTGGAGAAATATTAACTCTTCATGGGTGGGCAGGGCCAATATAATAAAAATTTCAATTCTACCTAATCTACTTAGTGCCATCCCAATTAAATTACCAAAAAATTATTTTATTGAGCTTGAAAAAATAATAATAAAATTCATTTGGAAGAACAAAAGGTCAAGAATATCAAAGGAATTAATGAAAAAATGTAAAGGAAGGAGGTCTAGTAGTAGCAGATCTTAAACTGTATTATAAGGCAGTAATTATCAAAACTATCTGGTACTGGCTAAGAAATAGAAAAGTGGATCAGTGTAACAGAGTAGGCATACACTACATAGTAGTAAATGATTATAGCAACCTTATGTTTGACAAATGTAGAGATTTAAACTTTTTGAGATAAGAATTTACTATTTAGTAAAAATTTTTTGGCAAAACTGGAAAGCAGTCTGGCAGAAACTAGGTATTGACCAATATCTTATACTGTTTACCAAAATCAGGTCAAACTGGGTACCTAGATATAAAGGGAGATATCATAAGTAAATTAGAAGAACATGGAATACATTACCTAGCAGACTTAGATAGGAGAAGAATTTATGAAGAAAGAAGAGAGAGCACTGTGAGAAATGAAACAGATAATTTTGATTATATTAAATTAAAAAGGGGTCGTACAAATAAAACCAATGTAGCTGAGATTAGAAGGAAAGCAGAAAATTGGGGAAAATTTTTTTATAGATAGGTAAAGGCCTCATATCTCAAACATATAGAGAAATGAGTCAAATTTTTATGAATATGAGTCATTCCCCAATTGAGAAATAGTCAAAGGATACGAACAGGCAGTTTTTGGATAAAGAAATCAAAGCTATATATAGTCATATAAGAAATGCTCTAAGTCATTATTGATTAGAGGAATGCAAATTAAGACAACTTTGAGGTATCATCTCATACCTATTAGATTAGCTAAAATGATAGAAGAAAATGACAAATGTTGGAGGGGATGTGGAAAAAACTGGAACACTAATACACTGTTAGTGAAACTATGAACGGATTCAGTCACTTTGGAGAGCAATCTGGAATTATGCGGAAGAATTATAAAATTGTGTATGCCCTTTGACCCGTAGTATTAGATCTATTTCCCAAGGTGATCAGGGAAAAAGGAAAAGAAC